ATATGAAGAGTTACGAGTTGGGAATGACTCCCAGCTCCTACAAACCCCAAGAGCCTAGGTACAAAGATGTGGAATAGTGCCACACTGTCCCCAACCACGAAGGGTCTCGAAACTACCCTTCACTAGGGCCTACACCAAGTGAAATGTTACACTACACAAAGTAATGTAACTATCTTCAATATCTTGAGGTGTACCCTTTTGGCGTGCTTCGAAATCACTTGAGGCTTGACACCAAGGCTCGGGCTCTTCATCACAAACTTATCCTTGAGTTCTTGATGGGTCTGCTGCACACACCTGCGACACACCGAACGTTCGACACAGGACAAAATAGAAACCGCGCATGACAAAAATAGAAACCGTGCGCGAGACACAAACGACCGCGTAACACGCGTCTAGCTATAACTCGCTATTGACTCGACACACACACTCGACATCATGACTCAACATTCACACACAATTAAAAGCATGAATTATATATTATCCCATGCCCTCATACCATTCCATACACACACACATGCATGCACACGGACAACAAGCCGAGTGCAAACTGTAGGGTTGCACCAACATTATCATGCCCGTGGCATCGCACGTGATGTTCGCCGCCTTGCTGCAGTCCCCACCAACCACCCAGCCATCCATCGTTGTGTTCCACGCCTTCTGATAGTCCAGCAGTACTCATGCTGTCGGCAGGGAAGGAAGGCGTAGGGATTGGGAAGTGGGAGGTGAAGGGATTGGACGACTTGGTCAGACTGATCTCATTACACGCGCACTCCCACCTTTGTCCGCAGTACGAAGGGTGATGTGAAGGAGGGCATTGGTAGGGACTCGGAGCGGAAACTCCATGCACGGCACGTCAATTACGCATATTTCCTCTCTTAACGTCCTCTCCATCGCCACTGGTGAGAGAGGAAAGTAGTAAATGGAGGACGATGTAGTACTTGCTCTGAAGAACACTTGTTCTCGTTGAAGGGAATGTCGCTCAACGAGAAGGGAATGCATTGTTCGATTCCATGCGTGTTGTCGTGGTGCTTGAAATGGCAGGGCGCACTCAAATCGTCTTTTGGTAACCGATTTCTGGCCCAACCTCAATGATGACTGGCAAATAGAAGGGCCCAATTGTTTGTCAAAACAAGAGTTAGAAGTTCCATATAGTTGGTGAAATGCAACCTTTTGAGACCACTAGCGCTATGTTAATTGTTTCTTATTGAATACCCTGCGAAATAGGGAGGGATGTGGGTGATACATCCCGGCTGCAGTCCCTTCTGATTGCGACTCGGTTTTTGAGACGGCTGAGGGTGGTTGGGTAGCTCCGTTTTGGCGCAAAAGCAGGCTGTTTACAAACCAAACGAGCAAACCAATTAGACTGTTTTCAAATATATAACCTGCATACAACTTTAAAAAAAGTTTAAGCTTTTGTTTAGTCTAAGTTCACTAGTTGTGAAAGGGATTATATTTCCTTGATGTACGCTTTCTTTAGAGAGTACCGTATATTCCTGATGGTCCGTTTTTTCCAGAATGTTAGTTATTCCATAATGTACATTCTTCAATACATAGAGTACAAGGTCTAAACACTGTACATACCGTATACTCCCGGACAAAACACCCCCCCCATAATTGTACACCCCCGGGTAGCTTGTGCGGGGTGGGTGTTATGATGGACCTCGTTTCTACTATACCCCCCTTTTTGGCTGATTTTCTATAACACCCCCCCTTTTCTTACGGATTCATTATTATAGTCGTTAACGAGTAGCTACAATACGGAAGAATGTCGTGTGAATTACTCCCTCGATGAAATTTCGCGGTACATTCAAAGGCAATCTGACAAGATTTGCCCCCTCCCACTATTTCTTTGTCCCCACGTGCAGGTGATGACGAGAAGTGAGAATGGAATGAATGAACTATGAAACAGTTGGGTACAAGTACTAACTCTAATTGGGTTGTACCCCTTATGGGCTACCCCACTACATCCTACACAAATGTATAAGCTATAATGTTCTGACACACCCCCATAGGCAAAGTGGGGGAGAACAAGTGGTCACAAGACCAGTCAAGCAAAGCAAAGCAAGCTCAGGGTGGATCACAAAGTCACCACACAGTCCGAGCACAAGAGTAAGGCCACAAGGCCAGTTCACATGCAAGGTCATATATATAAAGGTAAAACAAGCAAGGGCAGGTATAGAAAGAAGACAGAACAAACAAGATCAAGAAGTGAGCAAGTGAGGCCAGATAGGCACAAGACCTAGCACAGTACAGAAGCGCTGATGATCACAAGGCGGAAGGGCCTTTGTGAAGATATCAGCAGTGTTGGCTCACAGGCCACGTAGGTGAGGCAGAGCTGACCACGCTCCTGCAGCTCACGAGACAGGAAGTAGTGGAGAGCAATGTGCTTCGTTCTGTGCTCCAGTCTGTGCTCCCGACACAAGGCCAGCATGGCCTTGTTGTCTACGTACAGAACTGGAGGAGAACGAGGCGGCTCTCCTAGGTCAGTCAGTAGGTAGGTGAGCCAGCGTAGCTCCTGTGCAGCCATGGCCCCTGCGTAGATCTCAGCCTCGCAGCTAGAGCCGAGAACAGAGGACGAGCTGGTAGACCGCCACGAGACAGAGCCGGAGCCAAGGCTGAAGGTGTAACCCTGTGACGACCGCTGCGTAGCCTGGTCGTCAGCCCAAGAAGCGTCAGCGTGACCTGTGAGGACTACTCGACGTCGCCCTCCAAGCACTAGCCCCATGCCCCATGCCCAAGAAGGTCTGTGCACGTGTGTCTCTTCTGCAGCTCGGACTTCACGTGGGCGAGTCCAGCAGTGTCAGCAGTGGCAAAGACCAGGTCTCCGACGTTCACGAGGATGTAGAACGGCGGCAAAGAGGTGTCGGGGCCGTAGCGGGGCCTAAGCGGGGCCGACGGGGTCGTAGCGGGGCCGTAGTGGGGCCGTAGCGGGGCCTAAGCGGGGCCGTTACGGGGCCGTAGCGGGGCCGTAGCGGGGCCAATAGGGGCCACTAAGGCGGCTCGAGGTGCTACTCGGATTAGGAGCTAAGCGCGCTCCGGGCAGGAAAAAAAAAGTTCGTGGTGGGCCCTAGGCAATATTCCCACTCGAGAATTTGCTCGATACCATGACGAGAAGTGAGAATGGAATTAATGAACTATGAAACAGTTAGGTACAAGTACTAACCCTAATTGGGTTGTACCCCTTATGGGCTACCCCACTATAGCCTACACAAATGTATAAGCTATAATGTTCTGACAGGTGAATCTTCCGTTGCAAGTGGCAAGAGAGGTGCCGCATGCCATTTTCGTGGGGGCGATGAAGTTCGAGGCCGAAACTCACATTCGCACCTCAGGCAGTGATGCTAAAACAACCAGCAAAACACCCACATTGACTAATAAAAAAAACACTAACACTAAGATATGCCATATGTAAAGACCCGGGTATTATGTATTTTTTTCCTACGAGGAGACCCCCCCATTTTTTCCCTGTATTTTTAGCTATACCCTAGGGTGTTATGTCCGGGAGAATACGGTACCACCCTTCCACCACTTGAACGAATGAAGCTTGCCCAAAAATTACCTAAGGGTCTTTCGTCAGTTGGGTTCGGACTACGGTTTGGCCCCTAACTGTTCCTGAGTCGCCACCGCACCATTTGCCAACTATCCGAACCTCCTTTATCCCGAGGTCCTCGCCTACCTTCGTTCTACCCAATTTCTGCTTTGACTTAGACTTTCAAACATACCGTACCATTTACAGGCTATGAATACCATTCCAAACTGCGTCATTGATGAGCAGGGCTCTCGTTATCAGGGTAAAATACCCTTTTTGCACTGACTGGCGGCCGCTTTTTTTCAGTTACCCTTTCACAGGCAGGGTAATGGATTTTTTACCTTAGGCCAGAAAGTGTAAGTTTTTTTTTACCCTTCGAAAAACAGCGTAAGTAATTCATTTCCCTGACTGTACACTATACGATCTGAGCCATACTGTTACGGAAAGCTCCGAAGCGAGACGAAACACTATCTTGCCCCTGCAAAATGCTGCTAATCGCTAGACTCGAACTTGCGATCTTTCGGATCCAATTCGTTATCGGACAAACTCAGCCACTAAGTGTTGATGCGTACGCACTATATGTTTAATCGTTAAAATTTGAAAACCAAAATTCCCTGGCCCAACAGACTAACTTTGTTTTTACCCTGCTTTTGTCAGGGAAACAAAATTTTTACCCCACACATCAGGGTTGACTATACCTAGAACCCTGATTACTAAGGGTGGCCCAAAACGAATGTGAAGCCCTGTTGATGAGCACATACATTATAATACCACGACTATTGACGTGCTGAACAGAGAAGATATTTCTTGTATGGCAAACATGTCTGCCAAATTTAGAAAGCTTGCTTTCTTGTGTTTGCAATGGCAACGAGCTTCGTTTCAAATGGGCATTACATCATTCTCGTCCGGGATATATATGGGGTACATTACACATGACAACATGCAATTTTTGCTAGGGTGGGTGGGTGGGAAATAAGACATTTGAAATTTCAAACGAAGACGTGGGTGGAGGCCAAATGGCCTCCACCCCCTGCTATATAGTTGGCGAAGAGCGTCTAGCACTTCGCTGTTGCCATTGCTACATTACAAGCAGCTTCGCTTTCAAAATACACATTTTTAGAAAATGTTACACACTTTCAAAAAATTTCATGTTGTCAGTATTCTCGGTGTTCCAATAATCCCTGTGTCAAAATAATGTGCATGAGGGCATGCGAATGTGGAAGAAGTGAGGATCATGGAGAACAGCTGAAAATGAGAGCGGTGCAGTGGAGGGAGAGGGTGAGGCATAGTGAGAGAGGGGCAGAGAGAGAGGCGAGAGAGAGGGAGAGAGAGAGAAGAGGAGGAGGAGGAGGAGGAGGAGGAGGAGGAGGAGGAGGAGGAGGAGGAGGAGGAGGAGGAGGAAGGAAGGAAGGGGGGACACACAAACACACACACAGACATACAGTGAGAAAGATGCAGGTGGACGGGCAGCTTAAGGGAAAGGATGGTGAAAGGGGCATCCGTTCAATACCTTGAGAATTAGTGGTTCAGCGTCGGTCTTCCTGACAAGGTGCAGAGTATTGGCCTCCAAGTAGGCCACTTTGTCGTCCAGATACATTGCACCGGCATCCTTGAGTACCCGCACTTCGATGTAAGGGTCCTTGGGGGGTAGCAGGTCCTGCCACATGCGAGGTCACACGGAAGAAGAGTTGCGCAGGATGCGGGCAAGGAGAGGGATGGTACAGCAACAGCAGTGCATCATGGCGTTCATAGGAGGATGGCTCTGCACGGTTGCACGTGCGCTGCATGCTCTTCACCACACACACCATGTGCCAACACACACACCACAATGCCACCGCACACACCACAATGCCACCACACACATGACCATCCCCTCTGGTCTTCCCCCCCTCCCAACAGGGTTTAGGGTCACTGAGCACGGTGAGGCAGTGAGCACGGTGAGGCAGTGAGCACGGTGAGGTTGAGACCCCCTGGTTGCCCACACTGACTACAGTGAGGTGGAGCCGTGCAGTCGCCATGTAATCACCAAGAGCCTGTGAGTATTGCGAAGCACACTCACCATGGCACGGTCGGGCACTCACTCACCACAGTGAGGCACTCACCACATTGAGGTCCAGCCCTGCATCCGCCATGTAGTCGCCCAGCGCCTGCGAGTACTGCGCCAGCCACTTTTGAGTCGACTCATTAATCCCCCCCTGGTTGTCCCCACACTGACTGACCACACCGAGGCACTAAGCACTGCTTGTCCCCCTGATTGCTTCCACACTGACTCACCACGGTGAGGTCCAGCCCTGCATCCACCATGTAGTCGCCCAGTGATTGTGAGTACTGCGCCAGCCACTCGCCCTCCCCCGCACTCAGCCGCTCCTGCAACGCCCGTGGCAGCGTTGCTCCCAGCTGCCATCACAACCGTCGAATCTGATCCATGCGCACATTGCTGAAGGGAGGGAGAGAAGGGTGGGGAAGGGACAGGAGGGGAGGTGAGACCGGGTAGTAGTGAAATTAACATTCACATGCTGAGAGTGGACGGTGGTGATGGCAGGCAGCATGCTCCGAGCAGATTACATGGTGCATGACGTGGTGCATAGCAGATTGCGAGATGCATGGAACATGGAGCAAGAAAACTGATGAGCGCGACAAGTTGAAGGAACTGACAGGTAGGCGGGGAGGCAGGGACTGACAGGTAGGCGAGGAGGCAGCGCTTGTTGCGCAGCAGCGCCTGGTGGTGCACCATCACGGCCGTGGCGTCCTCCAGCCGCGTCTCCTGCCACTCCACGCCCGACCCCTGCCCTCGCCTGCCGGAGGCAGGAGGGGTAAGGGGGTGAAATAAATCAAGACGTCTCAAAAACTCACTCCAGTCCCGACCCCTGCACCCGCCTGCCACTCGCCACGCACCATGGGATGAGGGTGGAGGGAGGGGGAGGGCGGCAGAGAAAGAGAAACAATCTTTTGAGGCGCGTCAAAGGAGGGCGGCAGAGAAAGAGAAACAATCTTTTGAGGAGCGTCAAAGTAGGGCAGCAGAAAAGGAAAGAAACAGTCGTGGTTGCGAAAGAAACGAGGGAAAGGAAAGAAAAGGAAGGAGACCAGAGCGAGTGGTGCAGCAGACCATGTGTTGGTGATGCTCACAGGAGGATTTGCACCATGTGTTGGTGATGCTCGTGCGCCTCCTCCAGCACTCGCTGAACGCCGTCTGCCTGCCACACCGTGACAACCAGCACACAGGGGAGGGTGGGGGATAGGAAGCAGAGTGTAGGCGCAAGTACGAGGGAGCGCGATGTACGAGCGGGTTATGCGGAAGGTTTCACCACCATCGCTGCGAACGCAGCGCGTCCGCGTCGGACGCATGCAGCGGCGGGCTACAAGGGCGTACATCGAAGGGCAGTATTTGGTCGGCGTCGCATCGCGCCACCTCCTGCACGAGCTCCACCGCCTTGCGCGCGAACATGGCGGCCTCCGCTGCGCCACCCGCTCGCTCTGCCCGCTAGTACCGCGTTGCCGATGGCAGTGATGGCGTTTGAGATGGATTGGCCGGTTATGGCAACGGGAGAAACTGCGGGAGACGCGGGGAACTGCGGGCGACTTGGAAACTGCGGGCTACGGGAGGCAATGGCCGGCGCCGCGCGGAACTGCGAGCGACGTGGGAACTGCGGACGACGCGAGGAGGTTTGCGGGCGACGTGGGGAACAGCTAGCAACAAGGGGGACTGCGGGAGGCGTGACGAACCCTGGCAGACGGCAAGATCTGCGGCCGACGGCATCCCAAAAAAGGCGTGGTCGGGTGGGCATGGTTTTTTTGGGGTTCCGAAAGGTTACCTCTGTAATACTTACGGTTCAGTTACGGGAGAGTTCATTTGGCGATAGGCGCTTCGGGAATCTTGCCCAAAGTTACCTGGTTGGGTTGGGCGCCAAATGCTCGCATCCGTGATTGGCTGTCGTTTCACAGTTACGGAAGGGTAAGAATCGCATCAGATTTGTCCAGCTCTCACTTTGACTGGATGGCTCGATGATGTTTTAATCAGATTCGATATTTGTATAGGGTCAAATGAAATTGTGCTTTAAATAAAAATGTACTTTCGTGTTTTATGTCTAAAGTAACAATTTGATCTGAGTGGGGAAAGATACTTTCGACGTGTCGCATCGATACGAAATCAGCCCAATTACCTTCGGAACTGTCGAAAGTGCTTGGGCTGCCAGCTTGGCAGCTTGGCAGCTTTTACATGCATTGGATTATATCAGACATCTGTAAGTGTTATTTTAAACAATTATACATTTTTATTTCACGATGACATGTTGTATGCATGCCTATTCTTGCATAGGATGTAACCATCAAACACACAAACAAGTGTCGCATGCTGCGTAGTTGTGCGAATGATCTCAAACCTGTTCCTATGGCTAGGGAATATGATGTACTACCTGAATGTGAGTAAAAATAGAGCAAAAAAAAACATCCGGATGAATTAAATGGTGACATGTTGTGTATATGCCTATCATTGCACAATTTCAAGCCATGAAACGCACAAACAAGCGTCACGATTTGCGTAGTTGGGCGAATGATCTCAAACCAGTTCCTATGCCCAAGGAATAGGATGTACTACCTAAATGTGAGGAGAAATAGGGCTAAAAAAAACATCCAGACGATTCAACGGTAACATCTTGCGTACATGCATATCTTTGCACAGTTTCATGTCATCAAACGCGCAAGCAAGCGTCACGATCTGTGTAGTTGGGCGAATGGTCTCAAATCAGTTTCTATGGCTAGCAAAAAGGATGTACGACCTGAATGTGAGGAGCAATAGGGTCAAAAATTACATCCGGACGTTTAAAGGGTGACATGTTGCGTGCATGCCTATCCTTGTGTCAGAATCCCAACCACTAGACCATTGGGATAAAAGGGCTTGTTTAAGTAGCGGGTCACTGCGCCCATAACCCCCTAGGCCAACGCGCCTGTAACCCTTCCCCAGGATCAATCGCGGATCACCAGTGGACCTCTGACACCCCCCTGCACTGGGATGCCCGAAATGCATACACCGGGATTCGAACCCGAGACCTTCGCTCTGATACCATGTCAGAATCCCAACCACTAGACCATTGGGATAAAAGGGCTTGTTTAAGTAGCGGGTCAGTGCGCCTATAACCCCCCAGGCCAACGCGTCTGTAACCCTTCCCTAGGATCAATCGGGGATCACCAGTGGACCTCTGACACCTTGCACAGTTTCATGCCATCAAACGCGCAAGCAAGCGTCACGATCTGTGTAGTTGGGCGAATGGTCTCAAATCAGTTTCTATGGCTAAGAAAAAGGATGTACTACCTGAATGTGAGAAGCAATAGGGCTAAAAAATACATCCAGATGAAAAAACGGTGACATGTAGCGTATCTGCATATCCTTGCATAGTTTCAAGCCATCAAACACACAAACAAGCGTCACGTGCTGCGTAGTTGTGCGAATGATCTCAAACCAGTTCATGTGGCTAGAAAATAGGATGTATTACCCGAATGTGGTGAGAAATAGGGCCAAACAAAACATCCAGATGATTAAACGATAACATGCTGCGTATATGCCTATCTGTGTACAGTTTCAGGCCATCAAGCACACAAACAAGCGTCACGTGCGGCGTAGTAGTGCGAATGATCTCAAACCAGGTCCTAAGGCCAGGGAATAGGATGTATTGCCTGAATGAGAGGAGTAATAGGGGCAAAAAATACATCCAGACGATTAAACGGTGACATGTTGCGTACATGTCTATCATTGCACAGTTTCATGCCATGAGACGCACAAACAAGCGTCACGAGCTGCGTAGTTGGGTGAATGATCTCAAATCAGTTCATATGGCTAGGAGAAAGGATGTACTACCTGAATGTGAGGAGAAATAAGGCCAAAAAATACATCGTGACGAATAAATGGTAACATGTCGCGTACTTGCCTATCGATGCACAGTTTCAAGCCATCAAACGCACAAACAAGCGTCACGAGCAATGTAATTGGGCGAATGATCTCAAAACAGTTCATATGGCTAGGAAAAGGGATTTAATACCTGAATGTGGGGAGAAATAGGGCTAAAAAATACATCCAGACGATTAAACGGTGACATGTTGCTTACATGCCTATCCTTGCACAGTTTCATGCCATGAGACGCACAAACAAGCGTCACGAGCTGCGTAGTTGGGCGAATGATCTCAAACCAGTTCCTATGCCAGGGTTTAGGATTTACTACTTAAATGTGAGGAAAAATAAGGCTAAAAAAAACATGCAGATGATTAAACGGTGACATGTTTCGTACATGCCTACCCTTGCACTGTTTCATGCCACCGAACGAACAAGAGAGCGTCACGTGTTGCGTAGTTGAGCGGCGTCAACTTTTTCCAGCATGCTCATATTATAATAAATGTTCGAATGGTCAAAAGAAACCTTGAGGAAATTAACTAATGAACGTCGAAACGGCACAACGTGTCGCGCACGCCTTTCTTTGCATAGTTATGAATACATACATTTTCGTGGTTATGAACTACAAGTTCATACTAAATATTTATATATACCACAAATGACAAGTCTGAATTGAATAAATCATTAGTTGAATTCTATGATTTATGCAATTTGTTTTCTAATGTACACGCACAATGCAGTCATAAATCCCACATTGCGTCGGCTCCTTGTGGGCACAGTCCAGATATCGCATATGTTTGTTATAAATTGTGACAGTTTGTTTGTGTTGTCTTTTCCTCCGAAATTTGGCCTCGGATAAAAAGTGGCCTTCTACGTGGACAGGTCTTTGGAACGAATACTGTGTACAGCGCTGTTCGTGAAACTGCCGTGCTGTACCAATCCTTCCGTGTTGTCGAGCTGGCAGCTGCAAAACACGCCTGTGCTTTTGTTTCGCAGTGCGTCGCTGTGCGCTGAAAATTGTTTCGTGTCTAATCGTAGTTCACGCCTGTGACAGCGCTGCCACTGCTTTGCCACTTTTGAGCCTCTGAGAGGCTGAATCAGCATTCTCGACGCCACGCTGGCGACTGCCTCGCTGGTACGTCAGTGGGTGGTTTGTCGTCAGGCTTTCAGAGGTCAGGTGGGTGGTGTATCTGCTTGTTCGTTATCTAGCTTGTTTTCACGAGCACAATCCCAACCTCTCGTCACATCTCTTTGACGAGCTGTTAGTAGGGAAGTAATCACTCTGCTTTAGTGATCACTTGTGTCCCCGCAGCCGCGAAGTCCATCTGTGTTGCAACGAGCAGTTTTTTTTTTACTCGAGTAAGGGCGCCTGTCGCGAAGCTCAGCTCCAACTATCCACGCTCGTCTCTCACCATGAGTTTTCGAGGTAAGAAACCTTCGGCGCAGGCGAGGCTTACTTCTTAACATTCATTTCGGCTTGTTTGCCTTGCTCGATCCCTAACGCGTATTGGTCGTATCGAATAATTGCGCAGTTTCGTGTCTATGCTTCTCTCCCCGCACCTAATTTCAGAATCGTCGAGTCAGTCAACAGCGTCACGCCACTGCAGACAGACTCAGCCTGCGCGCCGTCGCTTCTTATTTTCGTGAGACATGGCGCTGTTTAAAAATAAGTTTCTGGCCTCTGGCTTTTCTCGTGCTTTAATTTTCACTTCGGCTCCTCCAGTTTTTTGCCTGTTTCTTTTCTGTCAGCCCCTTAGGCGGCCGACGCGAGGCGTCAGCCTGCGTGGCCTTAGCATGCCTTGGTAGCTAGTTGTATGTAGGAAGCACCGACGTGATAAGAAACTCTGAAGGTAAAGATTTGAACTTTCCTGTTTACTCCCAACGTACGACGCGTTGGGGTTGATGCTCTCTGCTGCTTTTTTTTTTTTTTCACTTCATTCTGTCACTGAGTTGTGTGCCTATGTTTCTATTATTTCAGGCCCGTTGCGCTCGGCGCGTTGCATTTCACCAGTGTAGTCGCAAATGCTGTGGTACGAGTGCATGTAACTCCTGTTTGTTTTTCTTTTGTTAAGCACCTCGTCTATTTCTTCTTGCAGGTCGCCCTTTTTTTTTTTTTGCAGTTCGGCTCCTTCAGAGTTTGTGATGATGGTTGTGGTAAGTTGCATATACGTTCAGTTTCATTGTGCAGGCCCTGCAGGATGTACTCCCCTGCCAATGTTACTACGTTAGGAACCCACTGATGGTGATGTTGGTTGTGTTACTAGCGATGACGGGCTCTTTTAGGAGTGCTGCTATGGCTTCTAGTATTTTGTTACGATGTTTCTTTTGTAGTAGATTTGTTTCAGTAATATGTGCTTGTTACGACTTTAATTGGTGAATAACGATGAGTACAGTAACGTGTGTGAATGCAAATATCAATTCAACAGTAACAGAACTTGATTTTGATATCTTTTGGTACTATTACCAGAATACACGCATCAACAGTGTTGCTGCACCTATTTATATTATCAATGAACAGTGATTACATCGAAGCACGACACTAAATATATCTAACGATTTTTTGTGGGATCAAATCAACCTGTGTAATACGTTAACGGGTGAAACGAAATAGCGTACAGAACAGCGACAAAACGTTTCACGCTGGGTTACCAAAGCTCGAATGAGCGAGTCAGGCAGGTTTCCCGTCTTGTCGCGAGCCAGTGACGTAAGAGTAAAAACGCCTGCAAATCTAAGCGTGGACCAATCAGTCTAGTCAAGTGAACCACTCATATCAAGCGCGGGAAAGTTCTACGCCCGTGTTGAAATAGTGTGAACCAACGAAATCACACCACGTCGTGAGAGTTGAATGGATAACAGATTCGAAGTTACGAGAGCGTAAGTTTCAACCTGTTTGAGATGAGCGGC